AAACTGGAAAAGATTACAGGAAGTAAGAATCCAGCATATATGTTAACAAAGACGGTGACTGTTCAGAAACTGGAGTTGTGCGCAACTTCAGTTGGCCTCATGCATAGATAATGAGGGCAGAGCCACACAGAAGAGGAGCTTGATGAGATAGCCTGTTGATGTCGGTTTGGTCTCCAAGTGGGAGATTGTTAGTTTTGGGGGTGGATACCAACCTCCGCCGGCGAGGAGCTCCGACGAGCTCGAGGATGACGCAGGCGAAGCTGGAGGCGAGGTTCAGGCGAGCCTCGGGAGCTCAGACAAGCTCGAGCTCTGCGTTCGAACGCCCCTCTTGACCTCGGCGTTTTGGCGGTTCGAACTCCGCGTCTCAGCACTGTCGCCAGCCTGTCATATTCGCCAATAAAAGCTCCTCCCCCGATGCCCTAGTTGCTGTGCTCTTTTCCCGACTTCTTCTCTAGCGGCGATTTTTCCCTTTGTTCTTCGTTCCTTTTTCTCCAGCGCTCAGAATTTTGGGATTTTGAGGGGAGATTTAAGAAGTTAAGAAGAGCATTAAGAGAAGGGGATTAAAGAAGAGAGAGAATCTTTTCCCAGCTCTCAAAGCTTTGAGGGGGAATTAAAGAGGGGAGATTCTGAGATATCTACGAGGCACCACACAGAAGTGTTTGCACTTTGGTAAGGGAGAGGTGGAAGTGCAATGGTACGTAGATGCAGACTTCGACGGTGAAGTTGATCACTGAAGAAGCACCACCGGCTATGTATTCACCGTCGGAACTACAACTGTTAGTTGGATGTCACAGGTACAGAGGATTTATTGTGGAACATTCTTTATTCTCAAGAGAGAATTGAAAGGGACTATTCCCTTTAATTATTAACACTGTAGCTACAGTATTCATTTTGAGAAATCTCAGTTTTGAGATCTGCTCTTGAATTGTAATTTCTTGTTTGATTAATAAGAAATTTACTGTGTGGCTCCCGAGGACGTAGGCAGTTGCCGAATCTCGTAAATCTTGTGTACTTTTCTATTCTGCGTTTCTGTTACATTAGGGATTTCGGTGTTAGATTCCCAACACTAAACAGGAATGAAATCTCATGTAGGTCAGAAAAGGAAATATATGTTTTTTTAAATCGATCATCTCATAATGGGGACCAAACTTCTTGGGGTTTTTTTTTTCCGTTTTGAAATTTACCCGACATTTAAATAACAGGAGCACACTGATCAGCCTACACTGGTGTAATTAATATAGCATGTGAAGATTTTTGCTGATAAAAATTAACGAGAACCGAGAACAGTATTCCATTTATTGCGTGCAAATTAAATTAACTGGTGGTGGTGGTTAGGGTAGCTTCCAATTGCGGCATTTTATATGATTGTCGGAATTCGTCTATGAAATCCCAATAACTAAGAATATCTGGTGTTGTAATATTCACATTTCATTATTTTTTTCTTAATTTTATCCTAAAAAAGATTTACAAATAAAACCAATGATAAACTTTCTCTCTCTCATTTGCTTCCAATTTTAACAAGTTATATTCAATTACTTTGGGAGGTATATACAAGACAAACATGTGACTTACGTAAAGGTAAAGTTCATTTTATCCACATGAAAATTTTCCCTTCTATGTCCCAACTTGTAATGTAAAAGTTTTCGAAGCTCATCAATGTGCGGAAAACTTGACACATTAGCTACAAAGTTGGATCCTCTTTCTTTTGTCTAGCTTGAAATGTAGCATAACAAGTTTAAAAGGCATTAATTATGCCAGTTCATGAAAGGAATGAGAGCGAGCTTTTAGTGTTGCTTGCCTAAGAGCATCTCCAACAGCTTTCCCAAAATTTTCTCCAAAATGGAGAAACAAAAGTCATATTCTCCAAATTATTTTTGCTCCAACTCCAACAGCTTCTCCATTTTGAAAAATCGTATTTATTACAATAATAAAGCTCTCCCCAAAAATTTGGAGAATGCTGCAGATTTGGGGAAGGCTCCCTATTTTTTCTCCTCCTTCCCTATTTTGGGGAATGAGATGGGGAATCTGTTGGACAAAAAAAAAAGCTATATATTCTCTAAATTTGAGTATTTCAAGAAGATGGGGAAGCTGTTGGAGATGCTCTAAGAGCATCTCCAACAGCTTTCCCAAAATTTTCTCCAAAATGGAGAAACAAAAATCATATTCTCCAAATTATTTTTGCTCCAACTCCAACAGCTTCTCCATTTTGAAAAATCGTATTTATTACAACAATAAAGCTCTCCCCAAAAATTTGGAGAATGCTGCAGATTTGGGGAATGCTCCCTATTTTTTCTCCTCCTTCCCTATTTTGGAGAATAGGATGGGGAATCTGTTGGACAAAAAAAAAAGCTCTATATTCCCTAAATTTGAGTATTTCAAGAAGATGGGGAAGCTGTTGGAGATGCTCTAACTATTTAGCTCATTTTTCCATGGCGAGTGTTCACATGTATTAATTGAGTGGCTNATTTGAAGATATTGAGTTTTTCGAGACCAAAATCAAAGGAAATGTTTATAGCTTAACATGGAAATCTTATAGGATGGAAGAAAAACTTGACACTAATACTAAACATAAATCTTAAATTTGATGATTACTAAATATGGTGATAAAATATCTTTATTTGTGAAACATATCCGCATCATCATCCATTAGGTTACGATTGTGGATATAAAATATCTACATCCGCTAGGATACATATTGTAGTCGAAATATTTGGATCCATATGCACAATATCCGAATTTACGTCAAATATCATTCATCCACTATGTTGTCATGGTTGGTTTGGTGCTTAACTATGAATTCTTGAGAAAATTACATATCCATATATGCTAAAATCGATTAAAATATGAATAATTAAATGAAAATATATACAAATATAAAACAATAGTGGAGCGAGTGGTTGGGAAACGAGATTTGGGCCTCGGATTTTGAATCCAAGGTATTTCAAGTTTGAATTTTATGTTTGGATCCTCTTTTGTGCTTGGATTTTCCAAATGAAAAATTCTTCAAGGACCCAAAATATGAGACCAATAGGGGGAACAAGTGATGTGTCCCCCTTCTATTGGATAATGAGTTGTCATCATTAATGATGACCAACTCATTATTAAGAGGGGGACACCTCACCTGTCCCCTTTATTGGTCTCATATTTTGGGTCCATGTAGGAAAGCTCTTTCCAAATTAGCTTATTTTTCAGGGTGGGTTTTGGATTTCTTTCACAGCCGCAAAACCGAGGATTCCAAATTATGTCCCAATACCTATGATTTGTGGAATTCCTGGCTCCATATCGTCGTCTCCCTGACTCCGCGATTGAGATCTTTGTTCTCTCTCCTTCGATCTCTCTCAAAGCAGGTACCCCACCTCTCTCTCTCTCTCTCTCTCTCTCTCTCATCCATGTTACGGTTTCATCTCTTGTTTAGGGCTACATCCCTGGTTTCAACTTCGATCGATAATATTAGGGTTTCATCTCTTGTTTCGTTATTCCGATGATTGCAGGTTTAGCTTCCAAGCTCAGTTCCGTTGCCTTATCAGTTGTCATCCCTTTGAACCCTAACTGTTCGAGTCATTCTCTCAGGTAAATTTCTATCATTCTCTGATTCATTTCTGCCTATTCTGAGTTATTTTATTGTACAACAAACAAAAATATGGGGTTTTGATCACTTTATCGGGATAAGGAAAATGCATTCAGAATCAATGTAATTCTGAAAATTTGAGAAAAACCCACTCGATTTCAGAATTACATTCAGAATCAATGTAATTCTTAAATGGGATTCTAAGGATAGTAACTAATTGAACGAACAAAGCTCTTGTTAATTAAGCTAATGATAAAAATTAATCGAACAAGAAACAGACTGGAGTATAATGTGATGAACATTCAGAAGTGCAAAGATATGAAAATTAAGCAAAAATAAAAGTATAAATATTTCCTATTTCATTAGAATTTGTCAACATGTACTCTATACATATATGATAATTCAAAATCTGAGAGGTACTTGCAGTTCATTTTAATACCTTATATAGATTTGCATAATTAACTACCAATATGCCACTTGCAGACGAACACGTAATTTACGAATGCATATAAAACATGAGATTTTGGAGTGATATGAAGTATATGTTAACAATCACTTGACTTATGGTCATGTATATAGGTATACTACAAGTTTTGGGATCAAAAATGAATAAATGTTTCTGTTATTTGGTTATCCATTCCTTATCAAATTAGGAAATTCTATATAATGGTAACAATGATTTTTAGTTCCTGAATTATAAATATTTGTATGATAAATATTTGTATGAATGTTAGGTTAAAAATAGTACCATTATTATTTTTTCATTTTAAGTTAAAATGGAAAATGATAAAAGAGATTGATGGTCCAACATAAACGTATTAGATAATAATTTGACCTGAGAGAGGAGGAAGAGATGATTAATATTTTTTTAGTAATCAATTTAACAGTGGTTGTCATTTTTAACGTATAAATCCTAGAAGAAGTTGGGTAGTTTGGTGTTTTTTAGTAATTGCATACATACTTAGCTCTAAGCCCTTACATTGTAATGACTGAAAATTTTAATGTTATAGATAAAATACTTAATCTTGGATGCTGAAACCCGAGCAAGTCTTCTATGACCTGAAGTTGGGACCGAGAGAAGACATGGATAAGAAGGGCGGAGATAGTTTTAGTAAGTATATGTTAGTGTCTTATTTTGGCTTATTAATGCAACAATGTCAGGTTACCTGTATGCTGTACAATGTTACATTAAACGATGGACGCTTCTAGGCGTCGGACTTGGCGCCCAGCGCTTAGTCGCCTAGGCGGGCGCCTAAACGGTTTCTGGGTATTTTTTTCTTTCTTCATTTAAGTGGTGGTCGATGAGGTTTTGCTGAAGGTCGGAGGAGGTAGTGGAGATGTTCATATTTGGAGGTTAATGGAGTTTGGAGGACGTATATGCTACGACACATAAAATCACAATCAAGGCCTACATGGTGCAATCTACGTAAGCAGACAATGCTCCCCTAAACGTTCGTAAAATCTAGGTGGGCAGCCTAAATATCGCCTAGGTGCTAGGCACTAGTTAGGCGGCCTAGGTACCGCTTAGGTCTAGGCGTACGCCTAAGCGGATTAAGCGGAGGTTTTTTAAAACAATGATGCTGTATCTATGTTATGAGCAAGCATAAACATACATATCGGCCAGGTTTTAGCACAACCTTGTATGAAGCTAATCCTCTGTAGGTAAAACAACAAACTTCATTCTATTGGTTAACTATTTTTGAGTGACTATGTAGCGATTAGGTCAATGTTTGTGTACTAAAACCTCAATTTCCTTTGATAGAATATCAACACCTAATGAGGACCGTTAAGATAGGAAGGATGACGTCCTAGTTAATTTAGCAAAATATGCGGAGTTTAAATTAAGTTGAATGTAAGAAAAATTCTATCCAAACACAGTTCCAGAAGAAGGATTTGATTATTGTCATCTTGTTTTTTGACATTGTTGTTAAAATCTTCTACGACAACACTTTTATGGTTACCGTGTCGATAAGCTTTCGTCTCCTCTTTGTCAGATATTAATATCTATCTTCAATACCATTCCAAGATCATTCAGTAAATCTTCTCATGTCAGACTGTTTGACTCATGAACTTGTTCAAAAATTCCATGTGCATATTAATTGGTTGGCATTGAATGACTATTACCAATGCCATGAATATTTTGAACCATTTTCATCACGACTCTCATTTTCTATATAGGATCCATCATCTTGATTTGGCATCTATACTAATTAGGAAAATCAGCTACAATTATCAAGATGACCTCGTGATACAAACTAAAAGTGCTCAATGTTTATGCATTATATTCATTGTCACTCTTACACTTGTGTATATATTCATGAATTGTATATCATAAGTAGGGGATACTCATCATGTATATATACCTGAACTCTATATGATGTATCATACCTTAAAAGCTTTTACTACTCCCCTTTATATAGGGATACAATAAAAGAAGTTTTCTGTGCAGACAATGTAGGACTAAACATAATATATAGTTACAATTGTTCTCCCAGTCACATTCCTAATATCTATCAATCATCAAGTCTCTAATTTATTCTCCTAATATATCTTGTTTAATACTATTTATTTCCTAAATTACTTCTAACACTTCCCAAGCTGGTGCATGTATAATATACACGTCCAGCTTGTTACAAATAAAATGCACCCACTCCAATTAATGACGAGGCCAAATAAACGATACTTTACTGGGATTAACCAAATAGAGGATCCTCTCTAGGGATCCACCAAACAAATGATTCTCACCAAGAATCAATCACAAATAATCCTCGCTAGGGATTCATCAAACAAACGATCCATGCTAGGGATTAACCAAACAAACGATCCTCTCTAAGGATCCATCAAACAAATGATCCTCTCCACAGATCAACCAAACAAATGACTCTCTTAAGAAATCATCGAACAAACAATCTTCACCAAACTAATCTTCACAAAATCAATTTTGTAGTATAAATGCAAGTAAACCCAAAATTCAAGCGCATCCTTGTTTTACTGAAATCTCGAAAAGCCTCATCGTTGAGGTGATCTCATTCTGAGATTAACGATGATGCAGAGTCCATATGACATGAATACTTGATATGTCCATACTTCTTACAATAGCAACACATCATTTTCTCCAACTAAAAAATAAATACTGAGCACCTCCGTACCTCCCATATCAACCAAGCCAAACTTCTAGCACCACCCTGCCACCCTTAAACAACTTCAAAGTACAAGAAAACAATTGGAAACTCCAACACCATCACAGATATCAATAAAACCAACTGACTCTAATATTACTGATCAAAAGTAAAGACGCCCAAAGAAACTATACTAAATCTGTGATGGCGGAAACGTCAAAAACAACAACTATAATAATGATGGTGGTGAGGGAGTGGCAGCGAGAGCCCAATGAGAGCAGCCTAATTGTGACATCCCAAAGGGCAGCTATAGTGACCCGTGGGGCAGCGGCGCTAAGGAGGCATTGTTGCAAGTGACATTGATAATCAGAGGAGGGATAGCGGTGGCCAGCGGCAGCGCGCGGCGGGCGGCGAGCAGTTGTAGAGTAAGGGCTAGGGTTTTGAGGGGTGAAGGGGCCTAGGGTTTGAGAAATAGACTAAAACTTTTAGGATATGGATTATTGGTATAAAAATCCGATTGAAATGTTAAAAAATAAGAATATATAAAGCTATGTCTTGCACGCGTCCTTTGTGAATCGCTTTTGTGCAAGGCGCTTGCGAGGCGCTGCCACATCAGATGCGGGGCGCTTTGCCACTGCCCTGCATTGCTGGGCGTATAAGGAGCAATGATGCGTGCACCTTTAAAAATACTGAAATCAGGATTGTTTTCTTTAAATGATAAAGCTTCTAGTATATTGAAATGCAAGCGTTAGAGCAACTTGTTTTATCCAATTCTCCATAAAATGTTTATTTTAAATTTTTGGGAGGAAAATACTATATGATATTCAAGAAAAAATTAGTGATGCAATATTTTGTATCTTTGACGAAGCTGGAGATGAATTAAGAAAGAATAAATGTCTATTGTCTTGAGATTCATAGGCAAAGTTAATTTAGTATGAGAACACATTTTGATATTATATATGTTTTTGATACATCTGGATTATTTTTGAAATACAAGTTGCACTTTCTCATACAATCTGAGTGTTCATGATATTCAAAGTCAAGGATATCACAAGGTTAGTAACATGTGTGGATACTGGAATATGTTACACAACTTAATTTCAGAAGATCATCTGTATGCATATTACAATTTGAGTGTTCATGGTCTTTGAGGTCAAGGATATGCAAGGGCTAGTAGCGTGCGTGTGCGTGGAGAGTGGAAGTTGCACACCTTAATTTTGAGGTTGCCTATATGCATGTTACATTTATTTTGTAGCTCATCCCCTTGGAGAGTGGAATAGATAAGACGAGCCAATTTTGAAAGATCACCTGTATAATATTGCAATTTGAGTGTCCATGATCATCGAGATCAAGGATATGCAAAGTCTAGTAACATGCATGGAGAGTGGAATGAGTTGCGCACCTTAGTTTTGGAAGGCTTCCTATATGCATATTACATTTATTGTCTAGCTCATCATCTTTAATTGGCATTAGTAACGTTTTGAAAAGATGTGATTGAGGTTTATAACTTCTTTAACAAATTGTCTTTTGTTGTCAATGTAGTGGCCACTTCTTGCAAACAACAAGATGACGTATAAGTAGCCTAAGTCGCTGACATTTCTAATATGATAGTCTCCAAAAAGCTTGAGATGAGAAGCAGACATAATCAAATTGGTACTTTGCAATAGGTTGGGATACATGATCGGTTTCTCACTTAAGCTCTATTCGTAGCTTGGTAACATTGCTATTCAACTTGTGTGGTTTTAAAAATATATCATTAAACGAAGGAATATATTCCCAATGTAGTGATGTAGATGATTCCTAAAAAGCAATTAGATCATTCAAAATTTTTGCTATCTTATACGTTAGGAGAGTTTTAGAACTCTCTAATGATCTTTTTCAAGCTTTGCATTAAAAATTGTTTGGTTCATAAGTTGGCTTTTTCATTATCATTGAACCTGTTACAATCGTTTATTGATTACAAGTTCAAAAAATAGAAAAGTTGATCTTTTTATAAAATCTCCTTACACAATGAAAAATAAAAGATTATAACTTTATCAAATAACACACAAATCCTATTTATTAGTCTTTGTTTGCGTGAGATCTTTGCTTGTGTCGGGGACGCGTTAGTGAGTGGACCGATGCGGATCAGATCCGATTGACAGAAAAGTTAATTAATGCTCTTTCTTCACAAAGGAAACAATCGCAGTAGTGATAATCGCGACCAAGCGAGATTACGATTCTTCTCGAGATCAAAACCAAGTTTGTTCCGGAGAAAAAGGGGAACGAGCCTCAAATCCTTCGAATAGCTTCCTCTTTATGTTGAAGTTCGTCAAGATCTGCTAACCCTCTGAAATTCGTGCTTCACTCGCCCTAGCTCCTCTAAAATTCGTGGCTTTTTTCAGATCTGTCTTTATGAGGGTGCTAGGGGTGTATTTATAGACTTTAAATGTCGTGTTTGTGGATATGAATGTCGTGTTTGTAGATAGGATCGAAGAACAACCGTTATTATCCGTTTAGGTGGGTTTTCGGTTGTGTAACAGCTTCCACACGTTTAATGATAACCTCACATGTTTATGGATGACCCAAGGAGCTCTAGAAGCCAATCTTATCAGAAAACACGTCGGGAGTTGACCTGGTCGCGAGTCACTTCGACTGTCTTGCACATGTCCGAGACAGCTTGGACTGTCTCGGGTATTTTGGTCTTAACTCTTTTGTCCGACCTAGGAATGAGATGATTCAAGATGCGTTAGAAAGCTGACAAAGAGACCTATAACTTTTGTCTTTTGAGATTCTTTAGATTCGAATCGTATCATGGCCAAAATGTGCGAGACACAATTGGTGTCTCGCAGAGTCGCAGGTGCGAAATAGTCTGGACTGTCTCAGGTATTTAACTATTTTGTCTCCAACTTCCTCGTCCGACCTCGGAATGAAGTGATCCAAGGCGCGTTAGAAAGGTCGCGAATATCTCTACAACTTCCCATGGGCGAGACACCTATGGGATGAGCAAGAC